CACCTTCCATCCCTGACTTACAGAGACAGGAATGCTCACCTTCCATCCCTGACTTACAGAGACAGGAACACCCACCTTCCATCCCTGCACTTTCAGTCCAAGCATCTTTGTCAGAGAGATGAGTTTCCTTCAGAGGGCAGGCACAGTTCAGCCCATTTACATCTTAATTGGAGAGTTTAGACTGTGTGTTTGGTGTGATTATTGAAAAGTGCACTTCTTTCACCTTCATCTTAGAGATTTGCTTACATGCTGTTGTTAATGTTTGATTTGTTCCTGTCTCGTGTGATTTTCTACTGAGATTCTTCCCCAAGTTCTCATGCTTGTGAGACTCCTTCTTCTTCCTGTATGTGGTATTTTTTTTAGTCTCTTCCCCTGCCCCTTTCTTTCCATGTCCCTGACTTACTCTCAATAATTCTTATCATGAGGATCCTTACTTCTGCTTAAAATTAAAAGGGTAAGTTTGCAAAGTCACGATGTACTTTAGGGGTCGCTGTCATTCCAATCCCCTGCTGCAGCCAAAGCTTGCAAGGATAGTTGGCTTTCTCCTATGCCTTCTGTTGTCCCAGGCTGTGTGGCTCACTTGTGGTTGGAATTTCTGGTCCTTTTCATACTGGGTTGAAAAATGGCAGAATCAAAACTCAGGAAACAAAATCAAAAGTTACCAGATGTTGAGATCCTTTTGTTCATATTTTAGTCAAGATCCAAAATTGTGTTCAAATTTTGTCAGAGTCAAGGAAAAAGTCAGGTTCTCAAAGGCCATGGGATTCTTACTGTCAGTGACTGCAAGTGACTATTATGAAATTTAAAAACTAATGAGATGTTACTTTACTTGAGCCTCCATATTCACTGGTTTGGTGTAAGGATATCTTAATGTATTTTAAGTCAGTTGTTTCTTAGAGCTGTGTGAACCTTTTAGTCAGTTTTGACTGCTTTCCACACCGGATGTCTTTATTTCCTCAGGGACTTCTGAGTGTAGTGCCCAGTGTAAATCCCGAGTCAACGGTCTAGAATGGGAATTGTTACTGGCAGCTCCATGAGCAGCCTAGGGTCTCATGACTGTATTGTTACTAGAATGTTTTGAAAATGAATTTGGTTCTGATCATTTAAGGCCATCAGTTCTGCTTTGTTGCTCCATGTTTTCTTTTTATCCTAGGTATTATTTTAAACTTAGTCCTGACCCGTGCAAACCCCTGGCGTTTCTCCTTATCCCAGCCACTGTGATTCTCGGAAACACTCACACAGTTTCAATAAAGTCAAGGTATAATGGTTTATTTCTTTTACATGTCACTGGACATTATCACTTTATTTCTTGAAAAATACTCTTTATATTTAACTTGACTGTAAAAAGTAAAGCTGTAAGGTGACTATCATTTATATGCAAATATAGTTCATATGCAAATATATTATGCCTGTTTTCTAAAGTGTAGGAGTTTTGTTAGAAAAATAATAGGTTCTTTCTCTTTTAATTCTTAAATGATACGATATGTTAGATTTAACTTTCCAAAAGATTGAGCTGTAGCTAAGACTGACCTTTTGCGTCTGCTGAGTAATAGGTACTTAGTGTGTGCTTGAGGGCTTAGCATGTGTTTAGCCTTTTATGCTTGTGTTTGACATGTTTCATGACAGCACTTGATCTTTTTTTGCTCTGGGAGGCCTGCAAATTCTGAGACACTTGCAGCTGTTCTAGGATCAGGCTAAGGTAGAAGCAGAGGTACTCCTGCATTCCTGTGCTCTGTGTATATGGGATGTAGAAACCTCCAGCCAGGGTTATCCTTAGAGTTGGTGGCCAGCCTGGGCTACATTGGCCCAGGTCTCAAATAAGCATATAGATGAATAAGAGCAAATCTTGACATGGCCACTTACTGGTTCTGGCATAGGCTTACCTCTCTTCACCTCAGTTTCTCCATTTTCTGAGTAAAATCAAAGGGTTTTCCATGATGTTCCTTTTCTTGGGAAATAATGTTTTCTCTGTTGTACTATTTGTCTTGGGGCTTTTTTCTTCCTTTTTTAAAATTTAATTTTTCTGGTTTAAGTAGTATTAAATTAAGCATTTTTTGTAGCAGTGACTTCAAGAACACTATTGTGTTAGGATAAGATTTTAGAGGTAGAATTGCGGAAATACCAACTGGTATTTTTCTGTTTTGTTAAGGAAAGACTAAGCATATGGCTAGTTTCTGATAGAAATGTATTTTCTTTTTCTGTTTGAAACATGTTTTTTATTGAGCTTATAAAATTATGGACAGGTTTTTTTTCCCAATTCATTAAAAAGAAAAATCACATCATTTAAAAATCACTTAGAAGTCAGATGGTTTGTCACAGTCCTGTCTGTTTTCCCAGCATTCAGAAGACAAGGCGGGTCATAAGTTCAAAGCCAGCTTATGTTTTATTATATATCACAAAACCTTATCTCAGAAAACCAAAGTAAGAGCTGAGCATGGTGGTGCACAACTTTAATCCCAGCACTTGGGAGGCAGGGTCAGGAAGATCTCTGTGAGTTTGAGTCCAGCCTAATGAACAAAGCAAGTTTCAGGCCAGCTAAGTCTATGTAGTGAGATGCTGTCTCAAACAAAACACCAACAGAAGAAGAGAGTGATCAGAAAACTAAAAATAAATAAATAAATAAGAAAAGCTTAAATAAATACAAGCAAATTATCACTTACAGTGTTAATATTCCAAAGCTATATTAAAGGTTTACATATTTCGTTTTGGCTCTCAGTGTAATTTGTCTAATAATGCACATTTCTCCATCTCTTTCCAGTAAGTTGCTGAAGACTGCCTCCCAGTTCCCACTCCCTCTGGCTGTTGGGGTGATCGCTTTCGGCTCCTCCCATTTATACAGGGTCCCGTGTTTCGTGATCATCCCTCTTGTATTCCATGCCTTATGCAACTTTATGTAGGACTGGACTTACAGAAGGAGAAGCAGCTCCTGCCTGCAGGACCAATGACAAAGTGAACATACAGCCCTACCACCAGGAACAGTGAGGTCCTCTGGAGAAGACAAGTCTATTTTTACAGTATTGAAGATAGGAAATTAGTTTTGTAATGCTTGAGGGAAGTAGTGGAAGCATGGTTTCGGTTCGTGGTGTAGCATCTGTATACTTGTCATATCTGAGAAATTAGTGAAGGGATATTGTGGCTTCTGTCTTACGGACTCCTGTACATACCAACTAGCTTTCATCCGCCGTCCCAGGGACCTTCTAGAGACCTGTAGATGCAGTGTTGTTTGCAACCTAAGTGAAACGTCTGCTAGTTTCATCAGACTTTCTTTTGAAAAGTGGGTTTTATATTTGTTATAATTTACATATTCAAAATAAGTCTTAAAAGATTGTTAAAAGTGACAACTGTTTTCTCAGAAGAGAAATAGTCATGAAGGAGTGTGGTCAGTTTTTGGCAGCCATGGTGGACAAAGTTTGATCCATCGTCTTACATCTGAAAAAGAACCTCAAATTAAAGGGAGACTTTTTTGTTAACTGCTGCAATTCAGATTCAAGAAATAACATTTATATGAGCTTTCAAATATGAATCTTACTATGTACACTTGGTGAATATTAGAGGCATGGAAGAGATCTATCAAAAGACGTGTTATCAAAAGAATTTTCTTACAGATTCTGCATTGGCACAGCCAGTCTCTGCCCCTGGCTTAAATCCTTGCCCCAGTGGTTGCCCGGAGTGCCTGTAGCAGGGAGAGTTTATTAAAGGGATAACTCAGAGGCTGAGGCAACTCTGGGTGTGCATCAGTTGTTTATCTACCGAGGAGGAATGGTCTCAGCATAAATACAACATTGCACTTGATGTACAGAACTGTATACGAATAGAGGGACAGTGGGCAGCCATTACTGGATTAGTACTAAAAACGTGACCACTGCCTGAGTCGATAGCACACCCACGTCACTCATTAAGAACAGAATCTTGGCTTATAGAGGTGTCTCCTAAGACTACAATTTTGCCACTAGGGCGTAACATTTTATTTCATTTCCAATTATAGTTTATTCTTAGCTACAGAAAAATAAGAAGGTTGCGAGCTTGAAGCATATAGTTGCTCTTTGCCTTCAGTTAGAATAAACTCAAGCTGAGTCAGACCTGTGTCATAGAGCCCTTCACTTAGACGTGTGTTCTGTAAATGTCCTTAAGCCTTTCCTGTGAAGTCCTCCAGTGTTAGCGAATTCACAGTTGCACTTGTGAACTTATGTCCTCCTACCTTGGTACCCAGGACCGGCACTGAGAGAATCAGCTTCGTCTTACCTGCTGTTACACCGAGTAACAACCTCTCAGCTACTACTGCCAACCAGAGGGCTACTCCCATGTCAGCCACGTCAGTTCTTCCCTGGATCTCTCCTCGTTCAGCATTAGTGAGAGGGTCACATTATCACCACAGAAGTTAGTTTGTGTGATTCCATTGCTGTCTGACAGGCATTGTGCTTGTTAAGTATTCATAATTTCACTTATTAAGACTTTTAAACAAAAGCTGTTGTGCTAGATGTGAAAACCTTTTAGTCTCTTGTTTTAGAAGAGTGTCAAGAGGAATAAACTATACCATAGTGTCTATTGAGTACCCGAGAGTGAGTTCATTGGATAATTACAGTTTTCTCATGGCACAACACTTACGTATCTAAGTCGGGATGTATCTGCTCTAATTTTGCTGGAGATGTGCGGCCTCTCTGCTCATGCTTGTCTTTCATTCTGTCAGTGGTATTATAGACGGATCTCAACTTAATGGCACTGAATACTTTAACTTTCTGAATTTGAACATACATCTACACACAGAAAGAACTTTACAAAATTTGGTATTAGACTTTTTGACAGCCATGATTATTTATTTATGAGATCTAAAGCCTCCCTGCCTAGCCAGTACTGCTCATGAATGAGATGTATCAAGTCTGATTTCTTACTTGTGAGTAGTATATTTGTTATTAAAGCACACTAATTCTCACAGCAATATTTTTGTCTGAAAGTACTAACTCCTTAAGCCCTTAAAGTCTACTTATGCCAGTAAAATATTTCCAATAATAGTAGTCTGGGTCTTCAGCCATTTGCCACGCATACTCACAGACACACACTCACACATAAACACAGATGGGCATTCTTTGATAGAATCTTCATCAAGCATTCAGACACAGAAAGCTAGGTAGACTCTATCTGATTAAGAAAAGTACTATCCCTTAAAAGGAAATCATTTTATATACACATCACATACTTTTATCTATCATGTTTACATAAATATTAGTTACGTTAGCGATTAATACAGCAAATTTTTGAGTTCTGCTTTTGTTGGGTTTTTTTGTTTGTTTTGTTTTTAAAGAAATTGAGCCTTTGGGTAAATGTACTTATTTAATAACTGTGTTCTTGTAAATAGATCGGGTATATATATGACAGTTAATCTGATTATTATTGAGTACTTAGTATTTTTGCAATGTCCTCATAGATTATTGCTATTATAATTTAGACCTGATAACTTCTGTTGAAGATTCATTTTTGTATGTATGTCTGCAGGTACTCATTGTGGCCAGCAGAGGGCGGTAGATCTCTTAGAACTGGAGTTGTAGGTGGGTTGTGAGTTGCTGGTTGTCAATGCTAGGAACCAAACTCAAACCCTCCAGAACAGCAAATGCTCTTACCTAAGCCTTCTCTCCAGCTCCTGGACCTGATAATTAGGTAGAAATTGCTATTGCAATTGTGTGTCTATGTGAATGAGCATACCAGGAGTTGAATCTGGAGCCTGTGTATGTTAATTATGTTCTATACTGAGTATTACACAGCTTGTCTAGATTCATTTTGTGCCAAAATTATGTAAATTTTATGCTTTTCTTGGTTATCACTATGATGAAAACTTCTAAAGAAACCATTGAAGCTTGATTAACACTGACTTTTGAGGCTGCCCTATATATTGATCATGTATTGATTAGTCTTTTAAATCTTTTTCTATTTTAGTTATATAATTTCAGCTGTCTATGAAGGGATAGTTTTTACTGAGTGATCTATAATAGTCTCTATATAATTGTCATACATGTGAACATGACACATTTTCACAATGCTTACAAGTCATACAAGGCCGATTGACTTATTATCAAGTCCCTGTACATTTTCTTAGCCTTTACTCTTGTCATTTATGGCCTAGTGTGTTCATTTCACCATGCACTCTGTTAATCCCTCCTACGGAAGATGCTGAAGTAGAGGGAAGCAGAACTCGGTTTTTAGTTCCTGAAAGCTGCAGGAGGCACATGGGAAGTAGGCCTGGAGAGATTTTTCAGAAAGTCACGTGCCTGTGGTGCAAATGTGAGGACCCAGGTGTAGACTGCCAGAATCCACGTGAGAAACTGGCTAACTAGTGCATGCCTGTAATCCCAGTGGTGGGCGGTGGAGACAGATAGATCTTCCAGGATTGCTGGACAGCCAGCCTGGCCATATTGGCAAGCCTCAGGATCAGTGAAAGATCCTGTGTCTAAAATGAGATGGAACATGATTGAGGGAGACACCCAGCATTGACCTCTGCCCCACCCGTCTGACCTCTCTCTCTCTCTGCACTTTTATGTATACACATGGGTGCACATACATGAACATGTACACACACACAAATACTCAAGAGATGTGGATCCACAAATACCATGAGGTAAACTAGAGTTGTTGATCTCATAATGATGGGATAAATCTGGTGCCGCATATTTCTCATTAATCAGGTCTGAATTAGTGCATTGTCTTGCATTATTTGGTTTGGTGCAAACTTTTAGAATGCTGTATTTGAACATATAGGAAGTGGTTCTAAAAAAATCATTTGGGAAAAATCCAGAAGTATGTTGATATGTTGGATAGCTAGGTTTTTGTTGATTGTTTTTCATCCATGTGGAAGATTTGTGAATTTGTATATCATAGGGAACGAGACTGTGAAGTCCATTTGGTCACAGTCCATTTGGGGAGTATGACACTTGCCCGAATAAAGGGAACCATGGGAGTTTCTGTGTTTAAGACATTACTTCCTTCCAGGAAAGCTTCCTTAGCAGATAAAGTAAATATAGGACTCACCCTACAAACTGTAAGATGGAGAACTGGAATTTTATAGGAGACTTTTTGAACAAGAAACATAATTCTGTGGATATCTACTCTTTCAACATAAGGCTTACTGATGTGTGAGGAAATTAAGTAAGTGCTGGGCACCTCACGTTCCTGACTTTTCATAGGATTATGAGAAATGGAAGTCAGATCAGCAGTCCAAATGTGTGCTCTAAATGCTTAAACTTCTGCATTTGTGAAACATATCGTGAATAAATAGAAACAGAATTTTGTATGTTGGTAGCTTGGTTGTAAGAACAGAGTAAGAGTTGGCAATGCTGATGGTTGGCTAGTTGTTACTCTGTCAATACTGTAAATGTAGCAGTGCACCTAGGGTGACCATGTGTTTCAAAGTTGGCAGTTATCTAAGCTATAACTTGATTAACATGTGTGAATAATAATTTTAAAATCAAGAACAGTTTTTTTTAAGTGCTTGGCATGTTATGCTGCAAAAAAAAGAAAAAAAACCCGTATTCTAAGAAATCAGTTAATTTCTGATGACTTGATGTAGAATTGGTATCTTGAGTCAGAATCAACCTATAATCATTCTGTACATTGTTGATTTGAACATCAGTGGGAAACTATATCTATTGGTATTTAGTATAAACTTTGCATATCTGAATTCTAATCTTAGTCTAAGAAGCCCGTGGGGAGCCATTTTGTAAAGTTCACGTGCTATTTTAAATGTTTTTATTTTTAGTATTTGTAAGGTAGTGATGTTACTATGGCAAAAGTTTATAGACACCATGTAGCACTACTAACTGCTCTAGAGCCTAAAAGACGGTGTATTTTGTATTTCATGTATACCTTTTCTGTTTCATATTGGACTTTTTACATCCCTTTTTTAGGAAAAAAGAATACATTTAAATTCTTTTTAGGGTAATCTGTATTGGAAACTAAGTATTCTCACAGTTAGCAAACATACTTTACCACCAAAGCTAAATGAAACTGTAAGATACCTCTGGATATTTGTGCCAATGAGCTTTTCTTAGTAATTTGGGGTTAAAACAAAAGTAATCTTTTCAGTATTTTTCATCTAGGACTTACAATAAATGTGGATATCATAAAAACGTGTTCCATGCTTGGCTTTTCTTTGAAAAATTTCAAAGCTTTAGAATAGTGTGTTCTGTGTTCTCTTGTGTCTGGTTTCCTGACATTGCTGGGTAAAGGATGAACCCACTCAGTAGTAATCTTTGAGCAGTTAATTGAGGTAACCATGTGAAGTAATCTGACTTTGGCTTGTTTTGTGGTGTAAAAAAAATCAATTGTTTTGCACAATCCATTTTTGGTGTAGGTGTCTGGTTTATACAATTAAAAGCTTGCCCTGTGGGGTTTGTTTTGCTTTCTGTATGCCTCTGATCATTCAGTCCCTAGTGTTTATCCAGTAAAACCTAATATAGTACAATAAGGCAAACCATTTAGCATGCACATCTTGTGCCAAATACTATGAAATACAGTTGTTAATGAAAACCCTGGCATTGATAGGATGTTAGACAAAACTAGAACCATAGCAGGTGCCGAAACCACTGTGGAGTCAGGGGAACTCTAGTTACTCCTCAGAGGAATGGCATGGAATGGCAGTGTTTCGTTTTAGTTTGGCCTAGCATTTTCTACTGCTTCTTTACCCTACAGTACTGAAATGTTGGTACATTTTTCATAAGTTAGTCTCACAAGTGAAGAGACAGCACAGAAAGCCACATACTGAAATATTTGGTCTTAATCAAGTGATGATTATCTACATAACTGTTGGGGACTCTGGATAAATTAGTAGAAAGATAGTTTGTCAGAGCTGGCTTCAGGACGTTCTGTCTGCTGGAAGGAGTTTGTCGTCTGTGTGCAGTGGTCTTAGCCTAAGTGGGAGATTCCTGTCCTTAACATAACCAGGTTCTGTGCATCGAGGCAGAGATTTGTAAGAGTTCTTGTACAAATCTCCTCCTCTCCTGCTGTGTGGTTGGGAGAGAAATGTTCATTTTTATTGTTCATAAATTAGGAAGTTGTGCTGCATACTTATATTTTTTTGAAAATAGGCACTGACATGTATCATTTTGAAGTGATGCTGTGGTTTCTTAAACTTAGGACAACTATAAATGTAGCAACATGCCCAAGATAACCAAAACTGAATATAACCCATCACTGTGAACGTGAACTTAATTTGGGACAAAACAGACTGTGCCTTAAAATGACAAAGCGATGCCCTGCAATCCTGTAACTGTATTTTACTATGGGTGGTCTTCTCGAGATTGTTTGAAATCCCTTTCTTTCAAGCTGTTGAAATAAAAGTTTTAAGTACCAATTGACTCACACTTTAGTATTCACATAGCTGCTGTTCCTGAGGCCACCCTCAATTTCCAGAGCTTTTTTGTTGTTTGTTTTTTAATTTTAATTTAAAATTGACTTAGTCTGAATATATGTGAGAAATTAGGTTTGGCTAAAGTTTCTGGGAGAAAATATTTTAAGGATAGTTAAACGGCACTTCTGTTTCTAAACTTGCTGAATATGGAAAAATTAACCACTGAAATGTATCTTTGTCTTATTGATAATAATCTTATCAAAGATATGAGTTCCTTCTGAGACTTTTGCTCAGTGCTGTGGCAGATTGAGACACATTTATATTTCAAATAAGGGTTATTAGATTTATGGTAATTATTTCCCAGTGACTAAACTCAAATGAATGTAGGGGTTTTTTAAATCATTACTTTAAATGTTTTTCCTGCCTCATTATTTTTATGATATCAAGGGAGAATTAGCTTCTCTGTTTTTAATTTAATGTAAAGTCTTATATTTTTATGTGCTTATTTAAAATAATGAGTGTTTCTGCTAAAGTCCAAATTACTCAATTTCCAGTATAAAGAATTCACATTCTTTGCCCAAAGATGCCCACGTATCTGGGTACTCAGTCTGTTGTTTATTTTTACATGTTACTTTTGGGCATAAACTCAATGTATTTCTTCCTAGTTCACCTCCATTACAATTAAAGTTTTATATTTAAATAAGAGTCTCTTAAAACTATGTAGAAATCACACTGTGTCTTTTTTAAAAGCCCAGTCAGATTGACAAAGAAGTTGTGCAGGCAGTGGGTGTAAAATGAGATCAGTTTCTACCTTGTGGTTAAGTGTTTAGAGCACGTACTCCTCGTGGCTTCTGAGGGAGACTGTGTACAGTGATCATTTATTTGTACACTGGTTATGTTCCCATCCATAAAGTGTAGTGTAGTAATGCGTTGTGCAGGGTGCCTGTCCTGAAGTGACCACTGAGACCAGTCTCAGCCAGATCTCCCTGTCTCAACGTGCATGCTCGTCTCCAGTGCAGTGTGGCGTGTGCAGTGCGCTAAATACACATGCGTGTAATTTTCTGTGTATTTTTGGTATGGTGTAATTAACAACTGTTACATTTAACTGGTTGTAATTTGGGGGAAATTGCTACATATTCTACTTTGTAGAGTGTTGTGAATTTTTTTAACCTGTGTTTCAGCATTATGATGTAGTTTTATTATGTGAATGTTTGCCTTCAGTCTCTGCTCAGGTATTAACATGTAGCGATTTTTGGTGCTTTGTTTTTAATTTGTCATAACCTAGTGTTCTGAATGTTCAAAAATAAATTTGGTGAATAAGTACATTTGGTACAGATTGTTTACTGGTTTTCTTACGCTGCAGTGCTGTCTCCTTTACCTGGCCCTTTAGTGAAAGCAGTGTGTGAGCACAGGGCGTCCTGGGCGCCGGGAAAAGCCGACAGTTTACAACTTGGCATTTTGTAGTTTTTCACATACGTCTCTGTGGACACCTCGTGGTTCATAGTCTATTTTCAGGACTCTTCGGAGACTGTACTTTTCCTTTTTTCATGCGCTAACTGTATATAATCCTAGGTGTTCAGGTTATAACATAGAAAGAATGAAAAGGATTTAGGCATTGTATGCAAATGTATAGGTCACTCTGCAGTTAATCAGTTGGCTTTTGGGAGTAGAGGCTTTGGGTTCTAGTTAACAGTTTGTTCTGTTAACTAGACATTTTTCTGTTGTTAGAAATTGTTAGTCAATAAACCTAACTTCTTAGGGCATCTAGAGGCAACTGGAGAGACTTTTATAATTCCAAGTTTCCAAGTGACAGTAATTTAAAAATTTAACAGAAATTCAAACACTGCTGCAGAATTGGACAGAAGGAATCAAATGAGATAGGATATTTCTTGGAAGGCATGTTTCTTGTATTTTTAACCAGCATCACTGAATATGAGTAAATATTCATTATCTTTCTATATAAATATTATATTATATATATATATATACATACATATATATACATATATATATATACACACATATACACATAGGCCAAAAAATGTCAGTTTTAAGAATGAGAGCCAGAAGATGAGATTGCTCAGTTGGTAAGGTTCTTGCCTTGCAAGTATGAAGACCTGAGTTTAGACACACGTACTCACACCTGCCTATGTGTGCTCTACACGCACATGTGCACACACACACCCCAACACCTAAGTGAAGGTAGGCAGTGTATGCCTATAACCCTGGTGCTTGGGAGGCAGGAGACGGAGATGGGGATCCCTGGAGCTGGCTGGCCGGTCAGCCTGGCCAAATCAGTGAGTTCCAAGTTCAATTAGAGACCTGTCTCAAAAAATAAGGTGGAGAGCTGATGGAGTGGCTCAGTGAGTAAAGGGAGTAGCCACCAGGCCTGAGAATGTAGGAGCTCAACCTCTGGAACCCACGTGGAACTCTTCTTCCTCCAGCAAGTTTTCCACAAACATACACAATGTCAAGATTGTGTGCGTGTGTGTGTGTGTGTGTGTCAGAGACAGACAAAGAGAAAGGATTTTACTATGTAGCCCCAACTGGCCTGAAACTCTGTAAACCAGGTTGGCCTAGAAGTCACAGGAATTTGTCTTCCTCTGCCTTGTTAATGCTGCAACTCAAGGGTGCACCACCATTTCTGACAAAATAAACTTTTTTTAATAAATTGCATAATAAAAATAATGTGGAGGACAGTTGAGGAAGATACTGGTCATTGCCTGCTGCCCTGCGCTCTGCTGTAGGTATGCCTCCATACACTGAAAATACTAGGACAGTAGTAACATCAATTTGTTTTCAAATCTTAACAATTTTTAGTGCTAAGAGATGTATGTCTAAGTTAGTTTTTTAGTAAAGCTAAAAGGAGTAGATAGAGATTTTCTGTTGTTTAGGCATTACTGTCATTTTGAACTTGTGGAAATAGTGTTTTGAAGGTGCGTCAGTCTATGATGGTTATGTTAATGTCCTCTATCAGTGATAGTAGGGTGAACACTAACAACCATATACACAGTCATAATGGGCTGTCGTAAAATTTCCTCTATCAGCGATATTAGTCCAAAACTCCTTAATTCAACAAATGGCTGGTGTTTCAGATAAGGGCAAAATTTTTAGCCATAATAATCATAAGAATGGTCTCTAATATTCTTCCCCTCTGACACCTCTTGAGCTGGGTGTCCTCCACAGTTTACTTTGCTCTCGGCACCCCTGTCTTCCATGTTCCTACCAGGATGGCTTATTAAGCCCACTTAAAGCAGTCTACTGTTTTTCTAGCCCGGAGTCCCAGAGCCTTCCATATTTTCCCAACAAGCAGCATGGCCAGGCCTGTCTCAGCAGTCCTTTATTCCTGGTACCTAGTTGCCTTAGTGGCTGTTCTATTGCTATGAAGAGACGCCATACCAAAGACAACTCTAATAAAAGCAAGCATTTATTTGGAGGCTTGGCTACAGTTTCAAAGTCAATGATCATCATGGTGGAAAGTAGACAGGCATGATGCTGGCTCAGAGGTCAAGAGCTTTACATCCTGATGCGCAGGCAGCAGGCAGAGACACTGGGCCTGGTGTGGGCTTTTGAAACCTCAAAGCCCACTTTAATTGTACACTACCTCCAACAAGGCCACACCTACTCCCTCCAACAAGGCCACACCTACTCCATCCAACAAGGCCACACCTACTCC